TCTAGGTTCCCCTTAGTTGGATTTGTCTGGAACCCTAGTAATCCCATTATCGTTAATGGCTACAAAATGAACATGCGGATTCGAATATGTACAGCCGCATGCCGTTTCTGAAGAGTTACATTCTGTGCAAATCGGTGGCGACTCTCTGGATTATTTTAACGATTACTTGAGATGGATGGATATCGGATTCAACCTGAGAGACCAGTGTCGAACGGTCTAGGCGTCTGGATGCGGCAAATGCGGCAAGCACAGGATCAAAAGCCTCAAGACGACAACACTCTCCAGAAACAACGGACTGTATCGACGGATTCTCAGCTGACAGCTGGCTCTGCCACTTCTTCCTCGGGGATGCATCGTCCGTCCACGACAGGTTCCATAACTTCCTCGAACACGGAGAGCAGCTTGTCATCAGATATAATCATAGAGCACCCCCAGGGCGAAGCGAAGAAGCATATTCCTCCAAAACGTAGAACTCGCAGCTGCAATGGCAGGAAATCGAAAGACTTCTTCCTAACGGGTCTCGCAGAGAAACCGCATATCTATGAGAATGTCCTCCTCAGCCCTGACGGAACAGAAGAAGAATGGAGTATGTACCCTCCTGCAGCCTGTACTGGGACCGATGGACCGAGTGTTGACGTTGGAATAGTCCAAGATATATCCAGAATTTCTCCGTCCGATGACGGACTTGCGATATCTTTGCGGCGGTGGTCTACGGGTGACGATGGGTGGGATAGCAACGCATTGCTTGAAATCACGAACGAGGCGCGCGCGGCGCTTAAGAGTAGATCTCTTTCTATCAAGACAATTGAGACCCTCAAGGACTTGCTAAGGGCGATTATCTCGGAGGAGTCAAGATCGAAGACCATGGATTTTCATGTCATCCTCAAATCCCACTTCGATAAACTTCTAGAAGATATTATCTACGCTCCTCGAGTACGCTCTGGGCCGACCTGGAGTACCTTCTATCAGCTGGTGCATGAAGCCGAGACTCTTCAACATAAGTGGTTGCACCGGTTCAAGTTGAAATATACACTGATCGACGATGAGCGGATGTTATCACTTCAAGAGGATTGTGGGCCACTCCACGACGTAGCACTCACATGTGATATTAAAGGGGGAAGACAGCAGCGGTGGGTGATAACCCGGCCAGGCTGTTATCCAAATATCGGTTTTGAGCACAATTCAGAGACCTGTTTTAAACCTGGACTGTAAGCTCTTCTCTCAGTTGAATAGCTCCTATCTCCAGCTAACATTTATCGCAGCTGGTGGCTTAACATGGCTTGTGCACAACGTGATAGGATTGTATCTACGTCAAGAGAAGTCGTCTCGAAGGGTCAATACAACGTTATTACATTACCTATGCTCACAGGTTCTGAAGAAGACGGACCTGAATCTGGTACTCGTAAATTCATGAGAACGGGTAGCATGGGGGACATGCATATTGGACTAATGCAGAAAGTTGGGCAGACGATCAGAGTCTTACGTGGACACACTTTGAAAAGCTCGGATGCACCTATTGAGGGTGTCCGCTATGACGGACTGTAAGTTCTTCCAGCAAGGAGACTTGAATTTACACTGAGCTGTCTTCCTTCGATGCGTCATCTAATATAAAAATAGGTATATCGTCAGACGATATGGCCAAACACGAACCGAGGGAACAGATATCTCCCATCTGGAAATCACACTAGAAAGAGCTCCAGGTCAGACTCCCATGGAAGAACTAAGACGCATACCCCTTCCATCGCAGCGCGATGACTGGCGTCAATACAGGAGAATGTTAGGAGAAGATATCCGCTCTCGAGAGGGCGAGATTGCATTCAAGCAGTGGAAGATCGTCCAGGATGCAGAAAAGAGGGAGAGGAAAGACTGGCACAAGGATAACGACTTTAAGGAGGCGATGAAAGACAGCGCGCAAGAGATTATATGCCAGTGAATGAGTTCATGTATTTGTATTAGTATTATTAGAGGGAGTTTCGGGGAGTTCTCATGGGACAAAAGGGCGTACAGTGTACTTTACCTACCTACCTACCTACCTATCGCTATGAAAGAGCAAAATGCTTAGAATAATCAAAAGTCAAGGTTACCTATTCATCAGTCCTCTGTGTACAATTTCAAAATTAAAAAAGGGCTAACATCCGTCCCTGTGTGCCGGACGATTCGGGGGGTACATAAACTTCAAAGCTTCTCAAACTCTGCACACATATCGATATATCTTATCATACCGTATAGACTATATACCCCAGCCATTCCTGAACGCTCTGAACCCCCACTCCCTAGAAAATTTATGGTCGCATTGTCTCCATCGCACCAAATTTATGGAGAGTCTTCTTTTGCGGCAAAATAAAATTCCAAACCCTGCTTATCTGATTGCCACCCCCGCATAAGTTACTCGTGCTGACTACACCAGGCACCTCACACAAGCTAAGGATCGGACGACGCAACAACAATAATCCAGAGTTTAGCCGGAAATATCTCTCCGTTCTGTTTATAATCCAGTCGCGCAACCGCAAAACCAGCCGCGCAGCCTCGATGCTGCATCAGCCATGCTATCCGCTCTCATTCGCCTAGCACAAAGGCACTGGACGTTGGGAGTCCTCTACCTTTCCAGGCTATGGGGTCTTTACCCCACTTCATTAATCCCACAGCGATCAAGACTTGGAACGCGGGTCTCGACGAGAACAACGCCTCTGGAGTAAATGAACCAGTGGCTGGAGCCCTTGAACCCAATCCTCAGGAAATCCCTTCTGTCACGGAAGATCAACGCAAACAAGCTAGAAAAGCATTCATCGAATCGATAGACTCAGATGCAGTGTGCGCTCTGGCATCAAAGTTCCGCAATGGCAGGTCGTGCCGTGTTGTGAGCAGGGAGAGCGGCAGCTTCAATGCTTGCTTCTTTGTTGCGTTTGATCAAGATGAGCCTGAGTAGGTTGTGAGAATTCCAATTGAGCCCGCTCTGGACAATCCCTGGAACAAGCTACTGAGCGAAGTATCTATTTTACGGTGAGCGTGCGGTTGTTATTTTCTCCCTTTGGGCTACTACTTATATAAATAAATACAGGTATCTCAAGCGCAACACCACGATCCCACTCCCTCGCGTTCATGCCTACGGACGCGATGCCGAGTTGACCAAGACTGGCACGGGAACACAGATGTTTCTTATTACAGACTTCATTCTAGGCCGACCACTGAATAAGAAACTATTGAATGAAGCTAGCGAGGAATATAGAAGAAACCTTTACTCTGGGCTAATCGATGTCCTCGCCGAGCTTAGGAGGCTTGAGTTCCCCTTGATAGGCTCCTTAATGCCAAATCCCAATGGCACGGCGGATCCTGTTTTAGGCCCCGCCATCTGCATGTCTGCTGCTACGCTTCGTCTCTCGCCCCGGCAAACCTTTGCCTCTGCCAACGATTATATGGCGCACCAGTTTGGCCTCGTATCAGCCTTCTTTTCGCAGCCAGTTTGCGATCTTACTGTTGACGATATCAAACAAGAGGTTTTCGCGCTACACCGCTTGGAACCCATATTTTACCAGATTATCGACCCTCAGCTTGACAGAGGGCCTTTTGCGTTGAATCATATGGACTTACGGAGCGCTAACATCATTGTTGATGACAGCCTGCAGGTTCAGGGCATAATCGACTGGGAGTTCACAAGTACTGTTCCGCGCCAAGTCTTCACTCCGCCGTCATGGATTACCGGTCATGATTCAATCGAGACAAACAAGCAGTTGCACACAGAGTTTCGCGACGTTCTGGATGAAAAGAGCAGATGCAATAGTGCCTGTGATCAGCTAAGAAAGGAATGGTACGGACAATTGGATACCGGCAAGTCGGAGGATATCGTCCAAACGGACATGGCATTTTATGTTGCTCATATGCTACGCTGTCCTACCGACGCCACTGACATATTCTACGAGTTTTTCGCCAAGTCTTCTGACGAGGATCTCGATGCTGTAATATCCAATTTCTTCAGCAATCATCAATCGCTCGCGTCCGAGGTACAACATCGAGCAGAACAATGCGAGCGTTACACTCAGTTTTTGAAGACGAACGGGTTGTACGAGACTGATTTGGACAGATTACTTGCCAAGGGAAAAGAGCTGGAGGCAAAATGGGACTGGACATCGAGCCAATAATCCCTTTCAAACTCAAGCGTTGGCTGCCAGCTCCTTCTCTTGCTTCTGTAGGTCATGTATCTTCTCCCACATACGCCCAATGTTCGCTTCCTTTTTCCGCTCGCCTGCGTTCATATTCCTCCTTTACTTCGGCTACAGACCTAGCCGTCTCCTTGTTTCTTTTGTTCCTTGCACTTGAGGCACTCCCTGACATATCATTTAGCTCTTGTTGCTCTTTGCCCAGTGCTTCCATTGCTTCGCTGATTCTTTTCTTGAGATCTTCAGCTGAAGAGGCCATGTTCACAGTAAATCTATCGTTGCCGTCGTTTCTTGCTTCTTGTTGCTTCCCACTCCGTTTTCTCTTGCCTTTCTTGGCCGCTTTCGCAGCACGTTTCGCTCGTGCCTCCTCGATGTCCTCATGACTCATCACCTCCCCTTCTCCCTTCCCTAATGATTTGGCCGATTTGCGGACTTTGGCTTCCGGGTTCAATTTGCCTACTAAATCATATTTACCTTGGTAGGGAGTTTTTTTCGGCAAACAACGTTTAGCCGCCTTTGCGACTGCTTCTCTACTTCTTACGTGCCTCAATAGGCTTACCTCATTAAGCGTAAGGGTATTCTGTTTGATTAGATTATACAGTAACATAAAAGCTATTACTAACTGTAGTGTTATAAGCGTTTATAACATCTTTGTCTTATAAGTTAATTCAGTAAAAGGGTTTAGCTTATATGTAATTTGTTTCTATTTAACCTTGATGATGATGATGATGATGATAGTTATTTGTGTCCAGCGGGGGCAGGTGAAACCTGCTCCCCTGAGACCTCCCTGGGGGTCAATATTGGGACGTTAAGCTAAGGAATTTAAAAAAATATTAAAGCGATTTCCGTCGCGAGCAGGATTCGAACCTACGCCACCAAAGTGATTGGATTTCAAATCCAACGCGTTAACCACTCCGCCATCGCGACTTTCATGTAAAGTACTTAAAGGCAGCTTATATAATTATAATTTTTTCCCCCTTATAATGCATTTTTTCTTATAAAGCAATATAAATATATAAAATTCTCCGGTGGTTGAATATGCTCATTAACACCAATTGGTCATCGGAGGGAGTGAGAACATCTAGTTAATAAGTCAAAATAACCGACTACTCCTTCAACAAGCAATCCTCTACGGGCGAATGGTCTAGTGGTATGATTTTCCCTTAGCAACAGGCGAAGAACCAAAAAGTTCCGCACAACAGACATTGGGAGAGGTCCGGGGTTCAATTCCCCGTTCGTCCATTTTTTGATTTTTTTCCCCCAAATCCGTATTTGATTTTATTACGAGGGCTTATGTTAAGCTTCAATCGCCTTTCCAATTTCCAATTTTCTAGGTGGGGAAGTGAAGGGGGCGTTGAGGTTGTGTGGATGACGGTTGGCAAGCGAGTCCTACTGTACCACAGCACACCGTTCTATGTGATGTACCTGTCAACACGATGCCTTCAGGATGCGAAGGAATGTCTCTTTCCTCGCTTTAGAATCGATCCATTGAAAGTCACGTTGATGTCCATACTAAAGAAGAAAGAAGACACACATTTACGATTTCCTTATATTTTCGCTACCAAGGTCATCCATATATCTAATCTACCTAGAAAATGACCAGTCACGAAAACAAAAGCCCCAGATGAGAAGAGTTTGTCCTTTTCTTCTATAAAATCCCAGCGACCCCTTGCCTCATCACTCTCGTGATCCTCATCCTCCCCCTATCAGTATCCCATTCCCGTCCCTTTCTCTTCTCTTCTTCTCTTTCCCATCTCTCCCTACACCTAAAAAAGGAAACCGTCATATAACTACAAAAGGAAAACAGAATAAGAGGAGGAGGATGATACAAGAAACACACTGTCCTACAAGATCCAGTCGTGTCAAAAAGAAACACAATTATCGCGCCGCCGATTAGTAAGAAAAAATGCTTATTCCCTCTTTCTGTAAAGTCAAAAGGCCTTTTTTCTACCCGTGAAGAAAATTTGCCTTTTCCTTCCCGTGGGAGCCCCTTTTCTACTCACAAATATACATGTATTTAGATAAAACTTAGATCCGAAGATTGCCGCCCTCTACATTTTCCCGTTCACGTAAAAATGCGTTTTCCCGCTCTTAAGCAGCTGCTGGATCGGGTGGAGTATCTGTGCTCTCGGTCGGGAATGGTGGTGGTGCGCTCTTCTCTCCCGTTTGCCCGGCGAAGTACTTCACGAAGTCCTTGTCGTCTTCGAATGGCCTCTTGCCTAATAATCGCACCATGTCATCGCGGCTTAGGACTTCCTTTGCGAGTAGCTCTTCAGCAATGATGCCGATTTCCTTCTTCTTCTCCGCAAGCAGGTCCTTGCATTGCTTGTATGCTTCATCCACGATTCGTCGAACTTCACTGTCGATCATTTGTGCGGTGGCTTCCGCAAATGGCTTGTGTAGCTTATTTTCATCATCCTCAAAGTGGAGAGGGCCAAGCTTCTTAGACATCCCCCATTTGGTCACCATCGCCGTTGCCATTCGTGTGACCTTGTTGAAGTCGTCTGATGCACCAGATGTTACTGTGTCAAAGTGGAGTTCTTCAGATACACGGCCTCCAAGAGTCATGGCCATACGGTCCATAAGTTGGTTCACACTCATGAGGTAGGTGTCGCCTTGAGGTAGGTACTGTGCATATCCGAGAGCTCCTTGGCCACGAGGAATGATGGATACCTTGAGCAAGGGGTCAGCGTACTTGAAATACCATCCGCAGATGGCATGGCCAGCCTCATGATAGGCAACGGTTCGCTTCTCCAGAGGGTTGAGGACGAGGGATTTCTTCTCGAGACCACCAATGACTCGTTCAATGGCTTGCTCGAAGTGAGTTAATTTGACGGAATCAGCCTTTGTCCTTGCAGCTATTGTCAAAGTTAGCAAAATGACCAAAGGAAAAGCAGCAATCGCGACGTACCTATCAAAGCAGCTTCATTACAGCAGTTGGCGATATCGGCTCCCGAGAAACCAGGGGTTAAAGCCGCAAGTCGTCCAGTCAAGTATTCCATATCCTCATTAGTGACAATTTTCTTCAAGTGAACATTGAAGATTTGCTTTCGTCCCTCCATAGTCGGTCGGTCAATGGCAATATGTCTGTCGAAACGGCCAGGACGCATAAGCGCCTTATCAAGGACGTCGGGCCTGTTGGTACCAGCCAGGACAACAACTTGTTCAGAAGTATTGAAACCGTCCATCTCCGTCAAGATCTGATTCAGAGTAGCCTCTCGTTCATCTGTGCCGCCGCTGAAGTTGCCACCCTTGCCACGAGATTTACCGATGGCGTCGATTTCATCAATGAAGATAATACATGGTGTGCTCTTCCTTGCAGTTGCGAAAAGATCCCGCACTCTGGAAGCACCGACACCAACGAACATCTCCACAAACTCGGAACCGCTGACGCTGAAGAAGGGTACTTGAGACTCTCCCGCGGTAGCTTTTGCCAAGAGAGTTTTACCAGTACCAGGAGGACCTGAGAGAATAGCTCCTCGAGGGATTTTGGCACCCAGACGTTGGAATTGCTCTGGAGTCTTCAAGAAGGCAACGAACTCCATGATCTCGGCTTTTGCCTCATCCATACCTGCGACATCCTTGAACTTGACCTTGATGTCGGTTTCGTGGTTGAACTGCCTGGCACGACTCTTGCCCATGCTGAAAATACCACTGCTGCCTCCAGCACCGCCAGCAGCGCGCCGCGAGAGCCAGTAGATAGCACCGATGAACAGAATAGTAGGTCCAAAGCTAAGTATTATACTCCAGGCGCTGGTATCACTAGCGTAGCTGATTGGTATCCGTTCCGAAGTGGGGATCCCAAGTTCGTTCTGTGCTTCGTCGACATGTCGCTCAAAGGACTCCACGGAGCCAATTGAGAAGTAGTAGTGGAAGTTGGGGTTTTGTGCTGCAGGAGAGTCGGGATACATAGTTTGGGTAAGCTCGCGGTTCAATTCGACACGCACTCGACCATCGTTGATCACAGTCAACTTCTCAACAAGACCCTTGTTGAGGAAAGTATTCCTGAAATCCTGATATGTGATCTCTCTTCCACTCTCTCCAGGGATAACCATTCGATATAGAAGATAGGACACAAATGCAGAGAGCAATACCGTGCTAAGATCAATCTTGATCTCGGTAACCTTGAATGGACCAGGTCCTCCCTGTTTGCCTTTCTTCTCATCGCCTGGAGGTGGTGGTTGTTGAGACCCGCCTTCCCCAGCAGAATGCTTCGGCTCATTTGATTCAAAATCCGTCCGTTTCGATGCCACATGTCGTTCTGCCTGCTTGCGCGCCATCTGCGATGTCAACCGCGTAAGCTTCGCAGCAGTAGCCAGCGTCATAGGCTTGCCCCTCACATCATCCATCAACTGCCGTAGCTCTAACGGTATCCCTTCCTTTTTCATCGTCTCCAGCGCCTGCTCAATAACCTCGACTTGACCCTTAGGTAATCCCTTTTTCAGCGTCCCCATGAGCTCCTCCATTGCCTTTTGATCCTCCGGATTTAACCTCGTCATGCCTTCCGCCAATGGTTGCTCGTCCTCCTTCCCCTCCGATGGAGGCCGCGACAACGGGCTCTTGGAATCATTGTAAAGATTCTCCGTCCCCTTTGGTTCTTTCTTCCCTTCTACCAATTCATCTTTCTTCCCATCATCGTTATTCTTTCGAGAAGAATATCTGCGGGCCTGTTGCTGTGCAGATATCCGGAGACTTAGAGATAGCGGCTGAGCAGCCGACGCACGTAGACGACTCGATCGTGTAGCAGACTGGAGCGTGGACCGAGATATTCGAGCAAGCGTGCTAGACTGCCGCAGAATTGAGGTCATGCTTGTATATAAAAAACCCCGGAGCTTGGGAGGAAGAGGGCGGGGAAAAGAAGAGGGAGAGAAAGAGAGAGAGGGACAAGAGAAGTCACTGGACCGTGAGAGCAATTATGGAATCCTACGACCTTATCATCAGAAGAAAGAAAGAAAAGAGGTCTGTTGAAAGCGGGAATTGCTCAATCGTGAGGACGACGGAGGCAAAAGCGGATGCGGTGGATTAGATGATCAAAACGATCCAGAATGCAAGCGATGGGTGTTCGGGAAAATGGTAGTTCCAGGGTCCGAGAGATGGCGATGGATGGTGATGGATCCCGGCGCTAGCAAAAAATCAACGACAACATAGATACACAGATGACGTTTTCTAGATTTTTGTTGTCGATGTTTTCTGTATATTCTTAAACAAATCTTGACGAATCTGAAGGATGACTCATTTGGAATTCCTTTTGTTTTTACAGCAATGGGTATTTTCACTACCAGAGGAAGAGATTTTCTGTAATTACGTTTGGCTTCAATTATCGTATTGATACAAGATTTGAGTAAAACAAAAATTTGTATTCTCCAACCATCCTTGCGTATAATTGGTAAAAGGGTTTGCATGGGCTTGTCGCTTCCCATCTTCAGAATTCTAATAGAAAACGACCCTTTTGCCTAAAGTTCCCAAGAGAATCACAATCCCACCCTGGCACCCAACGCCTATGATCATGCTTTGTTTATGTATAAATGTCGTCCCATAACGCGAGAAAGCCATTCCAGGGCAGAAAACTCATTCCCACCCTGTTTGTCCCATTTCCAATCTTCCAACAACCGTTAAGATGCCAATCATCGCACCGATCTCACACACAGAAGTTAACAAGCATGAGTGTTGCGCGTCGTAAAGCCGCAACGAAACGCTTAGGCCTAAACAGGCAAGCCAATCCATATAGATGCGTAGCCCGTTATTCGGGATAGTTTTCGTGTTGTTTATTTAGTTTCATCCCATCCCCAGACTGTTGCTAAGAAGTGGGCCATGTTAACCCTCTTAGACCTCATCTCAATCATCCATGGATGCTCCAGCATACGCCAAGGCGATGCACGACGGGATTGCTCTTTCTCGAGACTGTGAATGGTTAGCAGATGGAACATATTGCTTATACATGGGGAGCGAATGATCGATTACAGAGAGTATGGGAATAAACTTACCAACACTCAATAAAGTATTTGAAATTCTCACTCCACTTGATTCCATTCTCCGGCTCATCTTTTAGCTTTGGAATCGGCTGACGCACAATATATGTTAACAAATCAATCAAACCAGCTCTTGGTTGCATCTCTGTGCCATCAGCTGGGAACGGGAACCGGTGCTGGGCAACCTCTAGAAGTGTGACGCCTGTACTCCAAACATCAGATGTGATAGTATAACTTTGTCCCGTGATTCGCTCAGGAGCCATATAATAACTC